TGCGAATCAGTGTCTGGTTGATCAACTAGACGTTTCATCATCAGATACGGGCTCGAATTTATAAGATAAAATCGATACTATCTTTCTCTCCGGAGCTGTCATTCAGTTATGGCAATGGGTGTTTCGTTTCTGACACGCGCTGTACCTGGTCGACCAATAACAAAGGACTGGGCCGACTAACCAATCAGAGCAGAGTAGGCTCACGGAAAGGAGGGGTTTAGAGAGACTGAAACAACTGCTTCGTATGAACAGTTTACGAATCATTGAGAAATGCGGTGAAATTAAATGTATATTATGAGAAAACTAAAGTGTTTTTTGACCTTGCATGCATGTAAACCTGTTGTAGGGGACTTCCAAAACAATATCAGGACCCTTAAAAATTGCATAATATGCGCACTTTAACACTTTAAAAATTATACTAATCGATGTAAATCAAATAAGAGGACACCTCAAATTATAATTTAATAGCATTCTTGACAATGTTCACTTTTAAATGATACTAATTCTTTTAGCTGTCAGGAATGTTGTTTAAAACAAAAAAAGTGCTTATACTTATTTAAAGTAATAAATAGAGAAATAAAATTGTGAGAACACTAGTGAAAATGCTTATTTTCATGCAACAAATATATATATATACATATTGCATTACAAATTATATTATCAACATAAATTGAGCAAAAAGCTTAAAAGTATGCCACTCTTTTTTGCTTTAATGGCACCTGATGACCCCAGATTGGTTTCAGTGCATCTCTGTTAAAGAAGCCTTCAAGTAGATAGTTTAATGAAACAATGTTCATTGCATAAGTTAATACCCCCAACCTGTTAAAGTTTAGAACCCAAACAGACAGGCAGGCAAATTTACAGGCAGGCCTGTATTTAGTCCCCTTATCAATAAACTAAAAAATTCCTTTTTTGGGAGTAGAACAACCAAACTGAAACACCCTGGTCACGTTTCAAATGTCCCTAACTACGAACATTAAATATCCTAGCTGCCTACTTAGACCTATCTGATAATG